GACACAGTAGAACTGCCCCACCTGGTTTCCTAACCTGTCATCTTTACAGGAGCAGATTTCTAGGTCTTTCCCACACAGAACTACTGGATGTGTTCAAACTACCATTCTTTTGGTTAGCAGCCTAGCACTTACCCACTGTGCGGTCAGGGATCCTTAGCTCAGCTTTGTAAGGGATAACCTCAGAGATTCTAGAGTGTACCTGTCATTTCAAATTCTAAGAACCCCAGATGGAACTACCAATGGAAGGAGGAAGAGAAGAAGAAAAGCAGGTGGGTATACATATCTCCACACTTAGGCGAGATAGCCAAAATACTTAACAATTGATCTGGAAGAGGTATTCAATAATCAAAATGAATGCCAAATCCATCACAATAGGTACCAACCACAGGTATATACAATTGACCTTAACTTAATATTAAAGAATATGTATTACAATAAATACCTCATAAATGCAAATTCACTCCAGACATAATATTCAAGAAAGATGCATCGTTAAAGTTTGTTGTTGTTGTTGTTGTTGGGTGCCATCAAGTGGGTTCCACCCATAGCAACTAGATGTACAACAGAATGACACAACACCCTGTCCTGCACCGTCCTCGCATCTGTTCCTCTGCTGGAACCCCTTGCTGCAGCCACCGCGTCTGTCCATCTCCTTGACGGCCATCCGCTCTTTCACTGCCGCTCTACTTTACCAAAGATGATGTCCTTCTCCAAGGGCATGTCTTTCCTGACATGTCCAAAGTACGTAAGAACGAAGTCTCTCCATCCTTGCCTCTAAGGAGCACTCTGACCATACTTCTTCCAAGATAGATCTGTTTATTCTTTTGCAGGCCATGATACTGTCAATGCTCTTCTCCAGAAACACAATGCACGGATTCTACTTCAGTCATCCTTATTCATGTTCAACTTTCACATGCATATGAGGCAATGGGAAACACAGGGCTTGGGTCAGGAGCACCTTAGTCCTGAAAGTAACAGCCTGCTTTTCATTATTCTACAGTGCAGAAGATTTACCAAGTAGTAAGTACCAAAAAATATATTTTACTACACTTGACAGTAAGTCACAACTTTAGAAGCAATGATCCGAGAATATAGCCGCAGCATATTGGACATTCTCCCAGCGAAGATGGGCTGCGAGAGAAGGGGATCACACTAGTTGCCTATGGAAAAGTGTAAATCTTGGAATGCACAGGAAACTTTTCATAGCCACTGGATTGAACAAGTGAGAAGATCAACACAAATGCTAAGCCTGTGCCTTTGTAGATAAATATTTTAAGATGAGGCGCTTCTCGTTGTTGCTTTAGAGAAGTACAACGTCTATTTATTCGCCCAGTCACAAAGGCAAATGAAGAGATAAATGTCTTCTATTTGGCTTGGGAATATTTTGCTCCATCATATATGGCGTTAATGATTATGTGGAAGATAATGAAATATCTGCGCAATAGTTCAGAAGGCATTTTTAAAATACTTTTCAATTCCAGGATCATCTGTCATCACTGGACTGAGGGTGTAAACAAAAGTTCCCATTCAACAGATTGCCACACAAAGACATTTCTCATCGTGTGTGTTTCTGTGCACTATGACGGAAACTCGATTCACGATGGTATTTCATGTATGACGTAATGTTGTACTAACCATAGAAGCACTTTCCTTGCTACTGCCGGGGCCCTGGTCACCATCGTTCCACGTAAACTGCGAGTCCTGAGTCTGTGGGATATGTGACATCTCCGCTTTGCTCTTAAATTCCAGGGTCAGGATGACAGGTGGTAAAAGAATACTTATGATGATCTTTAAAAGAAAACAAAGCAAAACAAATAGTGAGACACAAATAATATCCAAATAATAGAATTAAGAATGCAAAAGTATATAAATTAGCAGGGATATCCACAAATCGGTTTACACCTCAATTCTACACATAATGGTAACTCAGTAATTCCAGCTATAAAAGCATCTCCCTAAAGAGATTTCATCAGCACCAGCATATATGGGTAGGGGTGTTCCCTGCATGGTTACTGAGAATAGCAGAAAACCAGCATCCACCTAAATGTTCACCTATAGAGAGACAGCTGGTGTGTCCAATATAGAATATTATGCAAGCATTGAAAAGATAAAAGCTATGTTGAATATAATGAAAAAGTATTTAATATAGATTGTTAATCAGGACAAAAATAACTTAGAGAATCACGTATATAGTGCAATCTTATTTTTATTTTTATTAATTATTTAAGACTGTATGCATATACAGTTATGTAGTGGTTAAGCATTGGGCTGAAATCCATAAAGTCATCCATTTGCAACCACCAGCCTACTCCATGGGAGAAGTAATCTTGGAAAGAAAGAGTTACAGCCTTGGAAACGCACAGGGACAGTTCTACTCTGTCCTGTAGGGTCTCTATAAGTTGGCATTGACTCAACAGCAGTGCGACAAGCAGATACACACATGCATTTGAATGTTTTTACAACATGTGTATCACACTGCCATTGTTTACCCCGACAGGGACTTAGGTGGTTTTGCCAAGTGAGGTTTGGACAGCTAACTGCAAGGTCATTTGCTCAAATCTACCAGTCGCTCCTCTGTAGAAAGATGAGGCTTGTTCATCTAAAGATTGGCAACCTTGGAAACTCTACATAGAGTTGCTATGTGTCACATGATCTTGATAGCAATGAGTTTGTTTGGACTTTAGAGGGGCCAATGAGAAGGAGTTTTTCAATGCTGAAATATTTTTCAATGCACAAATTGCTTTAATAATGTGTAAAAGCCATGAAGCGGTAAGTATCACACAAAAAGCACGCTAAAATTTAGTCATATTATAAAGCCAAGAAGGGCCACATTCTGTTAGCTCTATGACCCATCCTACATACGGTAAATATTTTCTATGCTAGACAAACTCAAGGAATGTGTAGATCCACCCACATTTTTGGTATATTGTGCTACATTCATGATGGTATTTTTATATAGTCAATTTTGAGGCCTTTCAAAGTTAAAAAATTTTTAGATTTACTAAATATTGGAGAAGTTGCAAAATCACTTGCCGGTCACTGTTTCTCGTGGACCTTAGTGTTCTCTAATACAGGGAACAAAGACAAAATCCAACCTAACCACATACCAATCAAAATGATATAAACTGAAGTCATACACCGTGATGTCACTGGGGATGTTGCGGGGAAGGGGTTCGGTCTATCCTCAGTGACAATGTCAGAGAGGTGGCACCAAAATGACGATGGACGGTCTGAGCAGTGTCCAAGCAGACGGTTATACTGTTTATTTGAAAACCCCTGCCGGTAGTTACAACAAAAACAGTTTTCAGAAGTCTAGTCTATGAGTATCCATAGACACACAAGCTCTACCTACAAGCTACAGCTTTAGGCTAATCTTCTTTTGGAACCTTCTAATGTACTGCAGCCAGGGCTGTTACCCAAGTACTAAGATGCTTCAAGTCACCTGACTTCACCTGCAGGTACCTCAAGCCTGTTGTTTCTGTTGCTATCAGTTTTCCTATAGTCACTGATTTTGTCATTTTTTCCCTGGTGTTTTAGCTACAATATTATGGCAATTAGTATATATTTGTGAACCTAGGTCAATAACGTTCTTGACAATAAAGCAGCAAGTAAAGGAAAAGGAATAAAAATCAAACACAGTGGAAAGTGAATTGTTGCAGGTACAGTTAGGCTAAAATTTAACACCTTATCATTTCATCTCCTTTATGACCCGTCTTCTATTTGTTCGTTTTTATTATTTTCTGCTTTCTTTTTGATTGAGGTTTTTGTTTTACTTTATTACTGTTCTTAGTTTGGGGTTTTTAAAAAATGTTTTCTGTGTATGAAATTCAGGATGGGTAAATATATAAAGAAGGTAATTGGATTAATGGTTCCTTGGAAGAATGGCAGGGCACGTTGGGGGATGAAGAGCCAACTACGATGAGCACAAAAGTGAAGAAAATGTTCTAAAAGTGATTGTAGTGATGATTGTACAACTCTTGTTAATGCGATTGAACTATTGACTTGTGTGATACATGAATTATAGGACAATGAAATGATTTATAACAAGGAATGCAAGTTAAAAATAGCTTCTGCTCAGTTACTAATAATGTTTCAATTCCATGCAGAAATATTTTATGAAAAAATTGTTGTTAGCGTCTATATAATCTAAGAGAATGGCACGTACGCAATTTGCAACTGTCTTTATCATATTGTTCTGTGATTCAAGGTAATACTAAAGATTACTAAGGATTCTCTATGTTCTGGAAGTGGAGGGGGATAACAGTGCTGCTGCCAGGAGCAGGAGTTGCCATCTGGCTAGCTCCAACCTCGTGACACCACTGATCAGACACGGGTCAACCTTGCAGGGTTGACCATGGGCTTTTCCATACTGAAATGGTCTTTTCTTGCTTTATTTTATAGCTTGATCTCAGTGAAGGTTCTCTGACTTTCTCCCTTCCTAGATGGAATCATACCCAAATGTTGTTTATTTTCTATCCAGGTGCTAAACACAAAACAAATGAAATCTTTTAGCTCTAGAAATATCATAGTTAGCACAAACACTAATCATATGACACTCGTTCACTCTTAACTCACTTCTTGATGAGGTCTCACATCCTCTTGCCCCTGTCTACTACAGAACAATTGCCTTGAGAACGATGACATCATTAGCCCATAGCTAAGAGCTAACATCAAACCAATTACCCTAAAAGCAATGTAAGGAGTGTGCTCATCCATATAACCTAGGGGGTCTTCCTCCAGTCCCCATCCACTTGGAACTATTCTAACCAGGGAAACCTGAGAATTATTTGCACGTGTTTGCCAAACTCAGAAGACAAGCACTGATTGAATTAGGATCTAGACACTGGAAATAATATTGTTGTTATTATTATTATTATTATTATTATTATTATTATATTGTGATGTCACACATCAGAAACATTAAGTAGCTGATCTAGGCTCCTTTATTACTAATTCGCTTCTATGTTTTAGGGCAGTTTCACCTTGCTTCTTTACATCTCTCTTTTGGCGGCAGGCCCACTGGGCTTGGAATTCCAAGCAGCTAAGAACAAAGGAAGGGCAAGAAGTCTTCACTGCTTCACAGCACCTAACATATGCAGACCGCCCAGCCAGGGGACAATTATTTCCAAACTTGCAGTTGTCTATAAGCACCTCACACTGGCTGCTCCTGGAGCTGTGACGTGAACTTCGTCACAGATGAAAGTGATTTCCTCATCTCCAAGAATTTCTTTTGGAAACAATTTCGTTCTGTTTCTTTGATCCTTTGTTAAAGAGATAGCTATGTAAGGCAATCAGATTGACATTTATTTATATTACCTCATTGGGGCATGGCGATGTGCAGACTTTTTCATGTTTTATAGTTTGCTTTCATTTATTTTGGGGAGTCTTGTCTAGAAGGTTCATCAAAAGTAGTCATTTGAATGGGATACATCTTATTTTTAAGAACTTTAGGGAGAATAGGAAGGAGCCCTAGTGCAATAGTGGACTACACACCGAGCTGCCAACCATAAGGTCAGCTGTTCGAAATCACCAGCCACTCCCATGAGAGAAAGATGAAGCTGTCTACTCAAGTGAGGATTCAAGGCCTCAGAAACCCAGAGGAGCAATTCTAATCTGTCCTATAGGGCTGCTATTGGTCAAAATTGACTCGATGGCACTGAGATTTTCTGAGTGACAGAGGAATCCCAAAGCAGAGCAAGTGGTTAAGTTCGACTGCTAACTGAAAGGTTGACGGTATGATTCACTGACAGATGCCTCAGAAGACAAGCCTGATCATCTAATTCTGGAAGAAAAAAAAAAGTCAGCCCTTCCAGGTCTAGGGAGCACACTTCTACCTTAACATACACAGGGTTGCCATGAGTCAGTGCCACTAGAAAGTATTTGTTTGTTTTCCCCTGCGAAGGAAAATAAAAATATAAGGCGAACCTCTTAATGCTTATACTTTGTTTTCCTTCATTCAGTTTCATAAGCACTTGTGCTTTTTAAAGCTTGACCATACCCTAAAGTATTAGGCTTGGGTTTTCTGTCAGAGTTCAAATATCCTTAGGCATTAACTAAATTGCTCTTGCTTATTCAGGAGTGAGCAATGAGACTGAACTACAATGAAACGGGGCCTTGGAGGTGGTCAGCAGTGTGTGGGGACAAGCGTGTGAAGTAGGCTTTAAGAAACAGGCATCTAGCTTACTAATTTTATTTAGTTTATTATCTCTTAGTATCATCAGTAGAGAAAACTTCCACTTAAAAGTCTTACTACAATGGGTTACGCCTGGGACTGCAAAGCAGAAGGTCAGCAATGCCAAGCCACCAGCCGCGGCTCCTTTACACAGTTACCGTCTCGGAAAGCCAAAGGGGCAGTTTTACCCTGTCCTATAGGGATGCCACAAGTTACAATCAACTTGTTAGCAGTGAGTTTAGTGACGATCGAATGGTCAGGCCAAAGGACTTTGAAAATAATAGTCCCTATGAGTTGGAATTGGCTCGATGGCAAGGAGCTGTCGCCTGCCTGTATACGTTTTTACATCTCTAAGCATCTCTAGTCCTAGGTGGCTCTGAGGTGGATCAAACAGATATAATTACCCCCATTTAAAAAATAAACTGCAGTAGTGGAAGCTCAACTGGTTGTCAGAGGTTCTACAGGTAAGGACCCTCAGCTAATAGGTGAGAATGAGAGATACAAATTCGTTTTGTGAAAGATAAACTTCAGAACAAGTAGAAAATGGAATTCAGGGACCTAGCGCTACACACCAAATTAAGATTAAACTCCATAAGGCAAGCGAATTTACCTTTAACCAAGTGTGCTTCCTCAGTTTGAGACACCCCATCCACATGTCGGTCAGGAGCATCTGGGTGCAAGTATGTGAGACAAAGGGCCGCAATCCTCCGGACACTGCCAGTTTCAAGGAGGTAGCATTGCTCCAGTTCTTGAGTTCATAGGTCAACAACTTCATGGCCATTCGCTCATTCTGCTTGAATGCCTTCTCCAAAACATCCAGCGCCAGCTGGCCGAACTGTCTGCAGAAATGGAGGAGACCAAAGCAGGCCGGCTCAGAAACGCTCTGAACACTCAGCAAAATGACCAACTGGGTAGCCGCGGTAGAAAGCAAGCAGCAGTTTGTTGGACTAAGTTTACAGAAGTTATTTTAGAGGTATTGCCTCTCATAAGGACGGAAAGGGTGTGGGTGTGGGTGGGTGGGTGTGGGTGTGGGTGTGTGCGCGCGCACGCGCCGCACGTTAGGCTACAGAAGAAAAGATTGAAATGACCAAGGATTTTGTCTTGGTTGGATCCACAACCAATACTCATGACAGCAGCAGTCAAGAGATCAAAAGACGTTGCATTAGGTAAACCTGCTGCACAAGCCCTCTTTAGAGTAATGAAAAGCAGGGATGTTACTTTGAGGTAAGGTGCACGTGGCCCAAACCATGGTATTTTCCATTGCCTCATGTGCATGTGAAAGTTGGACATTGAATAAGGAAGACTGACGTAGAACTGATGCATTTACATTGTGGTGCTGGAAAAGAATACTGAAAGTACCATGGACTGCTAAAAGGACAAGCAGATCTGTCTTGGAAGAAGTACAGCCAGAGTGCTCCGTCTGGGCCAGGATGGAGAGAGTTCGTCCTGTGTACTTTGAACATGTTGTCAACAGAGACCAGTCCCCGGAGAGGGAGAGAGACAGCGTGCGTGGTGAAGTAGAAGGATGGCAGGACAGGGGAACCCTCGGCAAGACGGATGGACACAGTGGCTGCAGCAGCGGGCTCAAGCACAGGCATGAATGTGAGGATGCAGCAGGCCTGGGCAGTGCTTCATCCTGTTGGGTCACTGATGGTGAAGCACAGGCATGAATGTGAGGATGCAGCAGGCCTGGGCAGTGCTTCATCCTGTTGGGTCACTGTGGGTGGGCAATGGCTCAAGGGCACCTGAGAACAACAACAGAATTTGCTTTGCACCGGAAGTGCCTGATTGACTCATGGAGAGAAGCCCGTATCTTTGAACTCTTTAATAAGAATCCATCACTTCTGGACAAAAATGACTTCCACACTGAACGAGTAATTATGGGAACCTGTTGTGAAACCAGTTTGGTTGCATTTTGAAGATTATTTTTAAATGGGGTAGATTTTCAGTATTCTGCAAAATCGATGAATAACAGAAAAAAGCCAGACCAGGAACACCCTCCGCTTCTGATTTTGTCATTCTCCACGAGGCTGCTCCTCTGACAGACAGATGCTTTCATTTTCTGGCGCTTGGCTTTATTTTCTAACCAAAATTATACATTAGTTTCCAGTAACTGCATTTCCCCCCTTTTCCTCACTAACAAAGAACAATTTTAAGTCTCACATATTTCTAACTTGATCAAAAGTTTTGTTTGTTTTTTAATTTCTTGCTCAGCCATCACACTCTGATTCCTTAACATGGTGCTTCTCTCTCGCTCACTCTCTCGCTTGAGACGCAGCTCTTCCTTCGACTGAGTGTTAAAGAACTGAGGGTCAGGAGGGACTTTCAGTGTCATCAAAGCAAGTCCACAGTTAAGATGCTTTCACCCACAAACGCCTCCCGACTGGACCCAGAAGTAAGCAGCTCGACTGGGACGCACACCCAAGTCATCTAACTTGAAGGCCACCTCTTTTCACTTTATGCCACACAGCTCCTTACGCTGCTTAAAACCCACCACACAAAACCTGCCGTAGAGTCCCATCTGAATCACATTGCTATGAGGCAGAGGGGAACTACTCCCTAGGATTTCCAAGGCTACGTGTGTGTCTTTAAAACTGTTCTGCACCTAACTTTTCCTTTATTTTATTTTTTAATCATTTTATTAAGGGCTCATACAACTCTTAACACAATCCATACATACATCAATTGTGTAAAGCACATTTGTACATTCGTTACCCTCATCATTCTCAAAACATTTGCTCTCCACTTAAGCCCCAGGCATCAACTCCTCATTTCCCCCTCCCTCCCCGCTCCCCCTTCCCTCCCCGCTGCCCCCTCCCTCATGAACACTTGATGATTTATAGATTATTACTTTGTCATATCTTACACTGTCTGACATCTCCCTTCACCCACTTTTCTGTTGTCCATCCCCCAGACAGGAGGTTATATGTAATCTGTTCCCCCTTTACACCCCACCCTCCCTCGACCCTCCCAGTATCACCACTCTCACCACTGGTCCTGAAGGGATCATCTGTCCTGGAGTCCCTGTGTTTCCAGTTCCTGTCTGTACCAGTGTACATGCTCTGGTCTAGCCAGACTTGTAAGGTAGAATTGGGATCAGGCTAAAAATCTTTATGGGAGTAGAAAGCCTTCTCTTTCTCCTAAGCAGAGGCTGGTAGGTTTGAACTGCTTATCTTACAATTAGCAGCTCAATGTGTAATCCACTATGCCATAAGGACTCCCTTTGAATACTTGCTCACTGTCCTCGAGTCTAGTGTGACTTAATAATGACCCTGTACAATAGAGCGGAGCTTTCCCTGTGAGTTTCCAAGACTATAAATCTTAAGGAGAGTAGAAAGCCTAATTTTTCTCACCTGGAGTGATTCACAACCCAATACCAGGGAGGGCTCCTTGTTGAAGTACGTAAGGACTTTTTAAATAGGGAAGTCCATAATATGCACAACAATGAGTCTATACGTGTATAACTTGGTCGGTAAGGGAGATAAAAGTGTCTAAACAGTCAATGAAATGTCGGTGTTTATCATGAAGTGAAGAGAATGCCTACTTTGAGTAATTTCTCAGCTCTTCAGAGGCGTCATCCACCATGTTGCTCTGTTTAGCTTCATGGGCCAGGGCTCGGTAGAGTGTGCAAGCAATGACGGCCTTCACCGTGGCCTCTTCCCCATGTTGCCAGAAAAACATGGCCATCTTCTGCCTTTTCATGAGCACAGCCCAAACCAGCAAGTCGTTGTAAGGGTATATAAAGCCAGTAGACTCAGCCTCCTCTGATAGGGTTTGTTCTTTTGACTTCTTCCTTTGTTTATGAAGGGCTACAGTCTTTTCCTGTTGGAAAATAACATGGCAATGAATTTCCAAATACTTGAGAGGACAATTGTGGGAAACAGAAAGATTTCTCCCAAATCGTCTCCCCCAGATCATCTCCCCCAGATATATGTTAGACTTAGGACACTGCTTGCAGCTAATAGTAAATAATTGTCAAGTTACTTCCCTTATGGCAGTCAGCTGCCAGCCTACTGTCTGGTCCCACCATGGTAGGCCTGTCCCCTGGTGCTAAGGACAATGGGCTACTTCTCCCTAAAGGCTTGCAGTCATAGATTTGGTTCCTGTAAGTGGAGTTCACACCCTACTGATACTGGTCTCCATAGTTGAGTCAGGGAACAGGTCAAACCCGATCAGTGACATCCAAAGTTAGGCTGCCATCCTGAATCTAGGATCCGCCTATCCTGCCACATGTATACCCCTAATCCCTCTTCCTATTGCATGTATACCCCTAGATCAACCCCCTCCCATTACTGTATTACCTATAGCACAACTGTTTCCTGTGGCATATGTCTTCACCTGTAATTAGGGGGCTTGCATGTCCCCAGAGAATATAAAAGCCTTGGTTAGCATTAAATGTCTCGCTCTCTCCATGTGGAACACCAAGTGGGGCTGAGGTGAGCTTGGTACCATGGAATGTGTCTGACTCCATTATTTACTTCTCTCTTCTATCTCTCATGCTCTTTATGACTTTACTGTAATCTTTACTTATTATCGCTGTACAATTGCGCCTCCTGGACGCGTGATGATGTGTTAGGGGCTGGTTACCCTGTCAGGTGATGGTTCTGCTTACCTAATGAAACATAGAAAAGATCTTAAAGAATTTGTTTTTAATATCAGAACTAAAAAAGAGGTGGAAATAATAGGACTGTATAAGTCAGCAGCCAATATTTAGACTTTTTAAAGGCAATCTAATGCTTGTTATGTTAAATAGAGGCAGTGTCTCTCAGACGATGGCTTCCATTCATTTAACACAAGTTAAAGCAGCATCGCTCTAGGTACTCAAGAGAACAGACTGAAATTACACTTTATTTGGATAAATGAAAAGTATAAAAGACTAACTTCACTTTAGCAGGTAGATTCATTATCTTTCCCTTAGAAAAAAATGCCATTGGTATTGCCCTCATGAACCCAAATCAATAGGTTGTTTTTAGTTTCTTTTCATTTATTCTGATTCTATGCTTCTAGCTATCGTGATATAATAATAGAATTATATTCTCCACGTGGGTAACCCACCACTTGGAGTTCAGCACAAATTCTGTTCTCTCCCTCCCCGTGATGTCTATGAGACCTTTTATTTCAAAGGTCATCAGATCCTATTATGATTACTACTTTGGAGAGAGACCAGTTTCCTAATCAGCATTATTTTTCCCTACCCACCTACACCCCCAAATTCAACTAAGTACTTAGCATAATGTCTGGCAAATAAAAAATTCAGTGATTATTATTTGGGTTTAGAGGGGCGATAGGAAAGATTGCCATATGTTTATTTCTTTTCTATAAATAAAGGGAACTGTGTTCACTGATGATGACCAAGAGTGAATTTATAAACTATATCTTCATTCTAGGGGCTATGGAAAGCACACCTCGCTGGCCAGTAGCTATTTGCATTGAAACTCTGGGCCAAAGCGTTCCTGCCTAGAGGAAAGCAGGTGTGAGGGGCACCAGGAGAGAGGGGCCACAAGGTCGCTCTCAGACACAAACATACAAATGCCCTTGGACTCTCCTACCTGTAATATTCATCTCAAGAAAGATTCACAGAGGGGAGAAGATGTAAAGAGAGGAGGGAAGAAGCAAGGAGTCACATCCAATTAACCTTGAGGATAAAGGAATGGGGTGTGGTATTGGTCTAATGATGACACTCGCACTACTTTCCTGAGTCACTCGTGGGACATGGCGGGGATGGATACGGGAGCGAGGCTGAAGTACAAGCCCAGGCTGTCCGTTAGTCGCCAGTTCTCTGCCCTGAACCCTTGTGCATGGTGGTTAGAGGACAAGTGTGTCATGCTGCGGACTTGCACAGGTTTATGGTGCTCACAAACGGTTCCTCTACTTGTGCCTCCTGTGTCCACCTTTAAATGAAGACAAAGCCAGAGTCTGCAAAACCACTGCTGTTTCCACGCCTAAAACCAGCCAACGGTACCTTGAGTCTGTACGGCTGGGCCGTTCTGATGAACTGTGAATGGGATGTGATGTCTACGGGCTCATGGCTGTGTCCTGAGGGCCGTCTCCGGTGCAGCGTGGACTGGGAAAGGCTCGGAGGACAGCTGCTCCTGCTCTGGTGTTGGTTGTTGTGTTATTGTTAAAATAAAACACAAAGAGAAAATGACATGATCGTTGTAACAATCAACAGCTTATTTCTTTGAGAAAAAGAAACAAGTTCATTTCTAATGAAAACAGATTTGTCGTGTTTCTCTCTGTCTTCATCCATGATGAGCATTTAACCTCCCTCGAGGAAAGCCCACCTAAGAAAAGCCTCTTTCTTGTTAGTCCATTGTTATTTCCTACTAGAAAGAACGCATGCCCTCTTGTTCCTAATTATATATCTGCACACCTTCTCCAGGTGGAAATTCCATGGACATCAATGGGCATTTTATCCTGGAACAAGCTCAGAACAAGCAATAAAGATTCACCATTCTGATAAGAAAAACCCTCTACCCACAAACAGCTCCAAGGTTAAGGTTAAGTTAGAATGTTACTCTAACTTCTCCAGGTGTTATATAAGATACTCACTGGGATTCCAGTGGCTTGACCCAGTAGCCACTCACTGCTATTATGGTATACTCATCAATGAGAAACAAAAAAGGCAGCATTAAAATAGACTAAGATAAAAAAAATATGATACAAATCATAAGCCTTAGATTGCTTTATTTATTCTTAGTTTGAATTTTATGTACAAAAATTAGACTTCAAAATTATGAGAACAAGACATTTAAAACATAATAACCAAATTAATAGTATTATGATATAAAATTAAGAACATCATGATAATAATAATCACACTGATTATCATTGTTAATAGTTACTCTTCACCTCTGATGTAGCAGGAATATGGGTTTGGGATATTATTTAATTCCTCTAGCAAATGTATGAGAGGCATATTAATATTCCTGTTTTATAGGTGAAGGAATTGGACCACAGAGAAGTTAAATTTCTTGCTGCAGATTAATTAATTAGCAAAATTAGACATGAAACTGAATTCTCTCTAACTTTAAGTCGTGCTGACAACTGGTTCAATCTAGTTTACTATGAAATAGATGATCTCTGCGCTCCTTCTGTGGAGAAGGACCTGAGAACTGGGTAATTTAATATTGGTGGGTCATTTTCAGAAAGGTCCCTATAGTAACATCCCCTAACAACCTCCACAGGGGTTCCCACTAAGAAATCTTCATGCTTGCCCCTGGCAACCTCACCACAAAGCGCACATCCTCCATTTAAATGAAGCAGTTAATCCCTCCCTCCTGCAGTGTATCCCAATACCTCTGAAATCTTAATAAAGAAAATTTTCTTTATTATTGTTGTGGGTTACCTTTTATTTTGTTTTGCTTCGTTTGTTCAATTATGAAAGCCACCGGTGGTTTTTACTTTACCTGATCCTTTTAAAACAAAGGTTAAAACTGGTTTGGCATTCCAGTGTGGTAGACCAAACTCCCTTTCGGATTCAGTGTCTGGGCTCTTCCCCAACAACACACGTTTCCTGGTCACTGCAAAAACACACTGATGTCCACAGCTCTTTACCTTTCACTATCTGTGGTTTCCCTCAACCAAAAAGGTCCCCCAATTACCTTTTGTTTTATCATTTTATGGGGGTTCTTACAGCTCTTGTACATCAATATATCAATTGTTATCAAGTGTATTTGTACATATGTTGCCATCATCATTTTCAAAACATTTTCTTTCTACTTGAGCCCTTGGTAGCACTTCATTTTCCCCTCTTTCCCTCTTCCTCCCACCCTCGTGAACCCTTGATAAACTATAAATTATTTCTATTTTCATATCTTATACTGTTTGCTGTCTCCTGTCACCGACATTTCTATTGTTTGTCCCCCTGAGGGGGGAGGGGAAGTGGATAATAAATCGATCCTTGTAATCAGTTTCCCCTTTCTCCCCCTTCTCTCCCCACCTTGCCCCTACCTTCATGGTATCGCTGCTGCCATTACTGTTCCTGAGGGATTTATCTGTCCTGGATTCCATGTGTGAAGAGCTCTTACCTGTACCAGTGTATGTGCTCCGGTCCAGTCCGATTTTTAAGGTAGACGGGGGTCATAATAGTGGTGGGGGGGGAGTATTAAACAACGAGAGGAACGTTTTGTGTTTCATTGGTGCTGCCTGCACCCTGGCTAACTCCAATTGCCTTTTCTAATGCTTCCCTGGCCTCTAACGAGAATTAGTCTAGTTATTGGTCTATAAAGGCAATTCTAAGAAATGGGTAGTGTTATCTCTGCCAATCTACCAACCAGCAATTCTAACCTTTCATTTCTAGACTTAAAATATATATCCTGCACATTTTACTTTCTATTCTAGTTTTTAAAGTACATTCTGCATGTATCTTCTAATACAATCTCTGTATAATTACCCCAATCCGTCAACCTTTGATGTAGAACATGGTGGTGTAAACATCTAGTCCTGTTACATTTTTCACCTCTGTATTTTCAAAAAAGGAACAAAGAGGAGTGAAAACGAGAACTGGCTGCACCTCCTCTAACCTTTCACATCCCATTACTTCTCTGTCATGATGGCCCAGGTTGTAGCTGTCAATATAACACGTGCATAACAGCATATATGTTCACATAGCGCATAGATTGCAGGAATATGTGCTGTACTCTCTAGTTTCTAAAGCCCCGTCTTTATTCCCATCTAGCCAGCGTGCCTGTCCTTAGCACAACAGCTGACATGCAGGCACTCCTCCATAAAGGATGAACCGAGGGCCCATTTTAAAAGTGAATCCCATCATTTTCCCTAAAACTACAAATCCTAATCTTCCTCAATTTTACTAGGACACCTTCCATTGTTGCTACCTTGCGTGTTTGGTAGAGGCTGTTGTACAGCGCTCTGAAGCTTTTTCTGGTGTAGCTACTGCAGTATGCTCCACCAATGAGGTATTCGATGACCAGTCCAATGTCAATCAGTGTGATTTTGTAGTCTGAGAGAAGGGTATTCTGTAACAAAAGCAACAAGTTAAAATGTATAACTTTCGGTTCTATTTTTCGATCTCTTTCACCGTAACCAAATCGACCTCACTCAAAGAGTAGACTCACATCTTTAATAAGCTCTATAAACCAATCAAGTAATAGAAGCCGCTGCATTAGTAGCTACTTGCTAATAAAGTAGCATCATCAGTGTTAGCTCACTCTCTCATGCATCCACATATGCACTCACAATTTAGAATAAAATATATGTAAATACAGGTACAAATTTTATTTGTCCCTGGGAAAATATATACCTAGACCTCACGTCCTGATTCATTATCCAACATTTCACATTTACAATAGTAAAAAGTCTACCATCCAGCTGTTTTGTGTATCAATGACAAGCATCTGTCAATAACAGTCCCAGAGGTCCCTCATGAGTAGATCCTATGTATAAACAGAAAGGAAGTTCCCATTGCATAGCATGTTACCACTCATAAGCGGGGGGTTCAGTCTCCCTGAGCTACCAGGGTGCCAGGTAGCGGGGTGGGGGGGAGCATTGGTTAATCACGAGGAGTGCTAAAATGGAACCAGCAGTGATTGGACACTCTGGCAGGTTTTGCGTCCCCACTGGAGGCTAAGCCTGGGGCAGCTATAACCAGTATCCTGAGGGCAGGCAACCTCAGCATCAGGAAGTGGGCTCCACATCAGCCGCTCCCAGCCCCAAGAGGTGACCAAGTAGAACCAGGTCGTGAACAGAAGCATTGTGAGATAGAGGCCTCAGGCACCAGGGCCTGCAGGACTCCAGGCCAGCTGGTTGGCACCTGAGCAGCCCCGCACAGGTAAAGGTGGACTGGGCTCGGGGAGACAGAGCCTGGCCACCATATTCTCTGCTCTGGATTGTTAATTCTCATAGGAAACATGAGGATGGAAGAGGCCAAGGCCACTCAGCAAGAACCAGAAGATGCTGGGGCAAAGAGTTGGTGGGCATCATGTGCCCTCTCCTATGGAACCCAGGCCCTCCTGCCTCCCCTTATGTGCTCCATTCCCCCAACCAAACCACACCAAGGGCATTTTGTGGTTGTTAAGAGGACAGGACCACTCATCCTGAAAATGAGGAAGGGGATGCAGGGATGGAGAGGGCGTTGATGGACCCCACTAGCTCTGGAAGACCGGGAAGACCTTCCAGGCAGGTGGCAATTGGGGCCAAGTTCTCATGAGGTGACATGAGAGAAAGGGAGGTGATGCTGGTAGGTGACTTCTACAGGGTCCAGCTCGACTGTGTGTTCAGAGAGCAGGTGAGGGGGTGAGATGATGTGATCATCCTCCATTTTTGCTTAACACAGATTTTTGTTTCATTGGCCTGGTCTTTTGAACTTAACCACATAGGAGATGAGCATGTATGATCAAACATGAAGTTGAGGTTAAATCCATAGCCTCACTCTTCATTGAATGGCTCTAACACTTCTCCCTGGGTTGACTGTGTCACATGTCAGAGAGCATGGAAGGATGTAGAAAGAAAAGGGAACATGGGAAGACAGAGTCAAAGGAAACAGCAAGCATGAGGCTGTCCAAAGACTAATACTCCTGCTGGTAGGAGGGCCGTGCAACAAATTTACTAGTGCGATGAGTCCTCATCAAAATGAAGATTATTTGGGCCCTTTCAAATCTGTCTTAGAAAGACAGGGTCTTCGTGACTATCTACTTCATAGTAAAATTTCAGAGGGACCCAGAGTGCTTCAGGAATATAGGCTCTGACACACGGAAGTTGTGAGTAAGGCCAACAAAACATTAAAGTTGGAAACCAATTCTGACTCAAAGAAACATTCTAGAACAGAACAGAACTGCCCCCATATGGTTTCCAAGGCTACATCTTCACAGACACCGTCTCCCAGGGTCGCTGGAGGGTTTAAATCACTGACCTTTCAGTTAGTAGCTGGGTGCTTTACAAGTGACACCACCAAGGTGGCTTCATTTTGATAGGAATCAACACACACTAAATTAACATCCGCATGGGCACATTTGCTTACTACTGATTTGCCAGTTAAATGTCTTCCTCTGAAGTCCTGCAACTCTGTCCCCCACAAAGTCAACATGCCCAGGAAGCCCACACTCTCTCCATCAAATATTAAATATTAGAAAGAGGATTGTTTTAAGGACTGTGGTAGACAAGCCCCTTTGCATGTGCTGCTAAGGGCGTTTCAGCATGATGGCAAGTAAAGGCACTCTCAATTATTTTGTGGATCTGAATAAAAATTCTTGATAATTAAAACAGAAGGTACAGAGTATCAAGTCTTAAATTTAAAAATTTTTGATAACTTAATATACAGTAAAATTAAGGGAAATGTTTGGTTTGGTAAAGAAACTGTTCAGATCCACATGTTTTAAGAGGTAATTCACTAGAAACACCCAAATCTATATTTCGCAAAGCATCTCTATCATAAAGCCAAACAACACACAGAAACATTCTTTCCACACCTTTATCATTAGGTTACCTGTTTCACGTCTCGGACAAGATGGTGTAAGAGCATATTAGTAGGTCCTTGTTTCTATAATAAACAAAAGGAAGAATTATTCCCTAAGACTACTATGTGCTAAGGGGAGAAAATTGTTTCAGTATATATAAGTAGCCCAATCTGAGCCCAACATCTTTATCAGTAAAGCATAAGCCAATTAACTTTAAGGAAGGTGTTTCACAAGAGATCTAATTACAATGAAATATTTTTCAAAGCAAAGTGTGTGGGGGTGGGGGCGTGGGGGTGGAGGATGGGAAAGAAGGATTAAATTAAATTAATGTGCCAAGAGGCAGGAAGAAATTTTTTTCCTAATCTTATGTAATTTATAAGTATCCTTTATCATTTATGAACATTTTACTGTAATCTATCCTATCATACAATTTCAGTCTAAAAAAAAAAATTTATTGAATGCTTACTATGTTTAACCAAGATTTAAAGAACTCAGTAAAGAAAGAATACTAGCTTTTTCTTCTTAGGTTGTTTACAAGCAATAAAAGAGACTGGGTACTTACACTGAGAAAGCGATAATGTGAAAATGTGTGTGCTCAAAATCAAATCACCACTAACACTAGATGGATAAAACTGAGTAAAAATGGAGACAAGATCTAACTGTGGCTTTGAGTAAGGGTAAAATCCACTAAAACCAAAAGGGAAGACATTTGAAGTCAGGTGCACTGGGCAATTGGTGTTCTCACAATGAGGAAGTGTGTCTTATAGCAACAAAGAGTTTGCACAGGATATTTGTCAGGAAGAGAATTTTAGCAGTGGCCTTAAGTTGATATGCCTTCAATATCTTAATAAAATCCATTTGTTCTTATTCAGGTTTTTTGCTTTAATTATACCTACTTCTATATTTTATTAGCTTACACTTCTATAGCATTCTATATATCCTTATGTGGTATGCTATGTAATGACTGAAACCTCAATGGGCTCTTAAAGCATGTTTTATTAAAATTGGAAGCACAAAAATTACCATGGGGTATTAAAATTGGAAATATGAAAATGATAGGATAAAACAGAAATGATAAGAACGTTTCTTCTTTGATTGGGAAGTCTTTTTCTCTATAACTATCTTTGTACATGAACAATTAAGGACATGGTAAACATTAAGCTCACTAATAAATGAAACTTCAGGGAGCTGATTGATGAAATGACCCCATACTCACAGTATTGTACAGCTCTTCCAGCCGGGGGATGGTGAGAAATCTATGGAGGTTTACTCCATATTCTATTAAGAGTTTCACAAAATCTACTCGATCCATCACTAACGCATCCAACATGGCTTGTTCCAGTGAGCCAGGCTTCACAGGATAGAAATAAATAAAAAATGTAAATAGAATTACATGAGGTTAAATTTTTAAAGAAACAGACGAAGTAAAGATGAAATGCAAGCTTACTAAGAAATGTTCAAGAAAAGGGGAGAGGGAAAATGTGCTTGAAGTCATAAAAGAAACCTTACATAAGTGATCTTGAACCACCATGGTCTTGAACCCCTTAAACTATAACTTATTTCTAGATATACATGGTATATTGAACACAAATCATATGATTTTACTCTAACACAACCCTCCCCTAAATTACAGTGAAATGATTTTTTTAAGAGAATAAGACTAAAGATAGAGTACAATATTTTTCGAAGTTATAAAACAGATGACCAATGGTGAATGATTTGTAGTCTCCAGAAAGCCTACTACTGAATTAGATTGATATCACAGAATTCTATGAGTATTAGAGTGAGAGAAATAAAAAATACTGAAGGCTTAGTGGTGAATCCTTCTCAGTCTACAGCCACTCCCCTGCAGTGTTCTGCTAGGTTCCCAGCAAGAGGCATTTACCTTCCAAGCAGGAAATAAAACGATCATTTTCTGGTAATGTGACTAACACAAGAGAAAAGATATGTCAATATCAGAGTATTCCCAACAAATAGCAGCTAAACCATCCTTCCCTGAAGGTTAAAACTAATTAAGTTCCTCCTACAGTCTCAGCATTTCTAAAGAGCTCTAACGACCAATCTTAAATAATAACCATCCAGACAAAAAGACCCCAAATGCCAAATTAAAAGGACATCAACATCTATCATTAATATCATTAAATATTTTTTAAAAGATATTGCATCCAACGTGCTATTTTAAAAAGAAGAAATAATTGGAGGGGATACAGTTTCAGCTCAAGTTGCTTTTAGAAATTAATAGTATGTTACCAGAAATTAGTAACTCCATAGAAAGCTTGGAAATTAAAACCCCAAAAACCTATGAAAGGAGAAAGCTATGAAAATTATAACAGCAGTCCATAAAGTCCAATACTCAAATAAGAGGAATTCCAGAAAGTTGAGCAAATAGAGAAGAAATTCCATATCACAGGAAAATATGACTGACAGATTGAAATCATGTGCCCAATATGATGGATACAAACAAATTCGTAAAACATATCATGAATCTCAAAACACTGGAAAAATAGAATGTTCTAAAAATTTCCAGAGAAGGAAGAAAGAAAAGAAAAAAAGTGATAGGGGATCAGAAAACAGAACAGCATGCTGGGGCTTGGGAACTAAGGATCCAAAATTCTGAAGAAAAAGGTTTCCCAATCTTAAATTTAAATAATTTCAGACATACTCCCTTTCTCAGGAAGCGACTCAAAGATGTTTGCCAACAAAAACAAGGTGTGAATCAAAGAACAGGCCAACATGGGATAAGGAACCAGGAGTTCTAACACAAGACAGAGAGGCTAAAAGAATTCCCAAGAGTAAAGTTTTCACTGTACCTTCCAATGTTGTCCATAAATTAAAATCTGCTTCTTGGCAATGTCCATTCTGTCCCATGCCATTGACAGATTTAATTGTTCTGGGGCTGATAAATTCGTGCCTAGGGTGAAAGGAATCACATGCAGATATCTGTCCCTCCGTGTCCATTAGGGCAGCATCCAACCACATATACGTACATCCCAGAAGATGTTCTGGTCTGTCCTGTTTTGTTCGGTTTTGTTGAAAGGAAACTCACTCACCTTTTGTTGAGCGGCAGTTCAAACCCCCCAGCTGTTTCAGGGGAGAAGGAGGAGGATGTCTACACGTGTAAAGAGTGCTAGTCTTGGAAATCTTATACACTTATATCCCTTAAGTTGCGTCAGAATCTACTTGATAGCAGGGAGTACTGACATCAAAGTTCCCAAAGTCCTGGAGTGAGAAAGAACTGCAGCTCCAGGGCACATCCCAGTTCGGGAAAGCCACCTTCTCATCCCCTTCTTTACGTCTTCATTCACCCACCCAGCAACCCCTGTGGGCACAGAGCAGACCCTGCTGCGGCTCCTCTGTGCCTGCTGAAGCAACCACTCTGCGCAGTGATGGCAGTGGCAGCATGTGACCGTGACTAAGGAAGCACCGGCAGCCCAGGCCACCACCAGCAGCAGTACTCCCTGCTCCCCCTGCCCCCTTTACCTGGACATCTACAAAGTCCCAGACCCTGAATTCAGCCAAGTGCATAACCTCCACCTGTCCTAGCTTTCCACCAAGCAAGGTCTGTCTCCTGTATCCGGTGGCTACAGGCCTCTAGCTTTGTCTGCAGCTTTTAATATAATAGGCTTTACAGGGATTTAACTATGGCTTGTACAGGGACTGTTTGTATATTATAAGACGGTGTTCCCACAACGTCCAAATAACCTAAGGTTCTCTTTCATAAAGCATATCATGGATGTTAAGCAATGCATACTTATATTCAAAATATCTACTTAAAAACACAACATGCCATTCAGTGGAACAACTGTAACCCTTTCAAACACTTACCCTTCAACAGAGCTGTTAGGATTGCTAAATCGAGATCTTGTTGCTCCTCAGAATCTGCATCAAATATGGTAATCTACAACAATTAAAAGAGAACACCATGCCTTTGAAAGACCCAGCAAAGCACTGCTTTCAAAAGTACCCACGGATTTCTGCCCTGACCTAATGAATGAAGAGAAATATTTTTCTTTTTTTTAAAAATCATTTTATTGGGGGCTCATACAACTCTTATCACAATCCATACATCCATCCATTGTGTCAAGCAC